TATATTTATATAAAAAATTGTCTTTACTGTGTCATAAATATATGTTACACAAATTTGAAATATTATTGATTATATTAAAATCGTTCTTTGTGATTTATCTTTATATCTTAATTAAGTATTTAAATAATTATGTTTACCACAACATTGAATTGATATAATTGCTAAAGGATGATTTTTAAAATAATATGTGCCTATAATACTGCCTACAAATATGAGTAAATTTTTTAACTTGAACTATGCAGGTTCATCAATTGTATTGACATCTCAACAGATTTTACCTCAATTGATTAATTAATGTGGTAGTCACGCTTCTGTTTGTAAGAAAGAATAGTTGTATTTTCGATTTTCATAATGTCAGATTTTTTTTATTATTATTATCTCTTTTATTTACAACTGTCCAGTAAAGGACATTCAATAAATTTGATGAATTTACAATAGTCGTCCGAAAAGGGACATTGTATACTACAAGGGCATGTTGGAAAAATCAACTCAGTAGTTGTTTTTCCATTAGATATAAAATTCACAATATTTTATTGATAATTATAAAATTTTAATTAATTACTTATTAAATAATTTCTTATAAATAATACAGAATTTATTCAACAAAGTGTAGCATCAAATATTGTGCGCGCAACGAAATATCAGCAGCCGTAACGTTCAGAATTTGTTGCAGAAAGCCTTTGGTAAAAAGTCAATGTCAAGAGCAAGTCTTTTTGATTGGCAAAAATAGTTCGAAGAAGACCGAGAGCGCGTTGAAGTCGATCAAAAACAACCAAGAACGTCTACGGATAAGATACACTTCAACATCAAAGAATTAGTGCTGCAAGATCGTGGATTGACTATTAGAGAGCTTGCAGATGTTGTTGTTCTTATTCTATAACATCCATAAGAGAAGGAGTCAACATGAATTAAGCGTCATTCATCATAAAAGCAGAAGTTTCCAAAGCACTCTTGTCCAACATTCCATTGAAAATTCACATATTTTTACCTTCGAACCCAATATTTTATATAGAGAGGATTGTACTTTTAAAAGATTTTTTTCTGAAAGCAGTTTAATCTTTTTGAATTCGTCAAATTGTGTCGATAAAAAATCAGATCATAATATCATTCATGATTCGTATCTAAATTTTGTAAACCTTTTTTTTTTTTTTATTCAACAATATATTTACAACTGTGCCCCATAGACATTAAGAAAATCTTTTGGCAATTATATGTAAAATGACATCGATATATAAATAGTGAACTAGTTGTAAGTGGAATTCTGTCTTAAGGCAATTAAGGCATCGTGCCTTAAGGCAAATTGCTGGAACTTCCCGTGCCAAAAATTATTATTTTTTTAAAAACGATTAACATTTTTGAAAAAATTTTACTTCGAAAAAATAAGATTTTTTAGAAATTTTAAATTGGACAAAAAATTACTTTTTTTTGAAAAAAAAAATTTTTTTTAAAAAAAATTTTAAACAATTTTTATTTGGAAAAAATGTTATCTTCATTTTGACATATTTTGGAAAATCTGAACTTTTTTTCAAAGCAATCGTACTGCTTTAACTGCATAGAGACAAAATATAAAGCGCGTAAGCGCCGCGTCGCTGTCTAACGGAAAAACATTGGTACGGAACCCATAGGAATGTAAACAAAACTTATACTTATTGTTAAAATCTCAATAAAATATCTGGTAATTTGATATGCATATGTCTAATGTCTAATGATTATTGTTGACCGCCAAATGTTATTTTTTTTTTAGTTTTTTTTACTAGATCTCCGAAACCGCTAGACCTATCTTCATGAAAATTTGATCAAATCTTCATCTTGTTAATACAATGTTTTTTGAACTATACAAATCGGACGCTCCGTTCTCTTAAAAACTTAGTTACCGTTTTCGGCACTTTTTGCCCCATATCTTCGGAACGGATAGACCTGCCTTTGACAAAAACTAATCAGCACGTCTCCTTATCAATACGAATCGAATGTTTTTTGAATTATTCAAATTGCTTCATCCGTGTTCCCGAAATCGTCGACGAAAAGTTGTATCCGAACACACACACATGCACGCACACACACACACACACACACACATCCATTTTTTCTGAGGTATGCCAAAATGTTCAGAAACCTTCAAAACGTCGAGAAATGTAAAAATTTTTGATTTCGATTTTTGGACGATTACTATAACTTACCCTACGGGAAGTTAAAAATACACAGTTGCAAATTTTGTAAACCTAATTAAAAACGATTCATCCTTTAATAATTTTGTGTGTATATATACATGTATATATGTAGTAATATATGCACATCCATATATGTGCTTATATGTATGTTTTTGTATATACACTATATACATGTACTTGCGTATACGTTCGTGTATATAATTTTATGTACATGAATATATGGATATATAAGCATATGTATGTATGTGTATGTAAGTATGCATATGTATATGCATGTATATATACATAATAATATTTCTCAACATTTGCTGAAGCAATACAGTCCCATTTTTCGTAAATTACTAATACAAGAGCCATAAAAAATTATTTTTGCCTAAATTCCGTACATATCCCTTACATCTGGCCGACAGAACTCCATATCAGTGTGTTAAAGTCTTGTGAAGTCAAAACATTTACAAATATCCTCGGGAAAAAAATCGAGTGTTTTTAACAAAAAATATTAGTGATATGGATATATAAATTAATTATTACAGGTGAATAATTTTTGCTTCTCAATTTTATATAACATTTTTGCTTCTCAATTTTATATAAAACCTTTTTTAGTTAATTTTTATTACTCTTTACACTGGTACATAATCCATTCCTTTATAATTTTTCTAAATAATCTGTAATATCCATCATTAATTAATGTTAATCAATAGTTTTAAAAAAAACATTGTCTTTGACAGAATAAGCCTGATGATGGAACGTATCTAGCTCCGAAACGTCGTTATTAAACATAAACTGTTCGGAAAAGAAACAATCAATAAATTGAAAAAATCCAGGACTTATCTATTGAACATATATATATATATATATATATATATATATATATATACATATATATACATATATACATACATACATACATATATATATTAGAGATGGGTAACTCACTCCTGAGTTATCACTCCGATACAACTCCTCCCTCGGAATTAATCCGAGTGGAGTTGTCTCACCGGATTTGTCATATCCGACTTCCCTAAACTGGTACTAAATCTGTTACTGCGTTTTTGCTTTGGGAAAGAAGCTGTCGCTTTCTCGTCTCGCAGACAGTATTATGACCTTTTAGGTTTACGTTTTTTCCAGAAAATACAAAAATATTACATAAAAGATACAGAACAATGAAATTGTGTTCAAGTGTGAATAGCTCCAATGTATAATTTATAGGGGTCATATTTCTAACAACGACAATATTTGGCCGCGAATGACGGCGATCAGGAATATACATACAGAAAAATACGCGAAACAAAATACATTTAATCTGGTCTTTCCATAGCCTGAAATAACAACACTTTAGAGTGCAAAATATATCAGTGACGTCAATAGTATTTAAGCAGCAAAAAATATATAGTATTAAATTTTTACTTTAACACAATTATAGAATTGTGTAAAATTAATAATATGCTAATCGAACTATCCGATATAATATTAATTCTCGAATGGAAATAGCAGAAGAAAAAATTAGAAAGCAGAAGTATTATTATTTGTTGAAAATATTTTGCGATAAATGTTTTGCTTTTATTACAAAGCTTACTACATTATTTTTATATAAAATTAATCAAAAAAATCAATTATTTTCAAACAACGCACTATAGAACACATTTGTGTCGAGTATTTCGGTTTCAAAGTTGTCGGAGTCGTGGAGTTGTTAAGCGGATATAACTCCTCCCTGAAGCCGAGTCAAATCCGAGTCGATCCGACTTCGGATATAATAAGCCCATCTCTAATATATATATATATATATACAACCTATTACATGATTCATATTTAAATTTTTTACACTTTTTGACAAACAATTAATATCGACTTCCTTTTAAGATCAACAATTTAAGTATTCACACCCTGACATATAAAAACACACACATACAATCTCACATCTCTCGTTCAAGTGTTTACACGTGTTACAAAGGGCACACCAGTTTCATTTAGTTAATTTTCGTAAACCAATCGAACAACATCCAGAGAACAATATTATTTGTGTTTTCAAATAATAATTTTAAAAAAAGACAAAGTTTTTTAGTAATTTTGATTTACAAAATCTAATTATTCGGCGGAAAATTAACTCACAAAATCATTTTTGTTAAAAAAGCTTGTTTAGTGAAAAAGTGCTAACAAATATTCAAACATACAGGTAATTAATTCAACTTTGTCATTAACCTTTTCTTAAAAAATTTCCATAACTTTCAAAAAAATTTTCTATTATGTTTAATATCCTGTTTTGATAATCCACTCATTTATTTTTATCATTTTTATTTTGAACATATTATCATATTTCTGTACATTATTATATTTTTTACAATTTAATTCATTATTTAAGAAAAATCTATTTTCTTTTCCTAAACATATTGTTTGCAAAAATCTCATCAAGATCATGTTTCTTGACAGATGTCCTGAAGATGGAACGTACCTAGTTCCGAAACGTCGACAATAAACAAATAATTAAATAAAGAAATTGTTTTTTTAAAAACTTTTCTTGTTTTTTATTTTGTATTATTTTTGGATTCTTGTTCGAAACTCTACAAAACATACACAAATCCAAGACTCTACCATTCAATATATATATATATATATATATATATATATATATTATAATTTTAGATTCATAAATTCCAAAGATTCTAGACTTGAGACTTATACGTTTCATTTCATTTAAATAAGAGAAAGTATCAACAATAAACAAGTTGTGTTCATAACCATCAGCATATTTCATAATGTGATTTAATTTTTATTTGAAATATCACATTTCTTTTTAAATCATTTCACGCGTCGTGCCTAAGATGATTTATTTACCTGAACTTTGTGGCTTGCTCTTGTTATTAGAATCGGCCTTCGAATATAATTTCTTTCCAATTTTGTCTGCTTTTTTCTCTTCGATGACGTCGTCTTCGTCTTCATCATCTCGAGCAGTTGCTTCGTGATGGGGAATCTTATGGGCTGTCTCGAAATCCTCTTGTTTACGCGCTTGCCGCGCGTTATGTGGTGTTCTTACGGGTGTTCCTCCTACTGTGGCACTCTGAAGACTTACGTACTCTTCTCCTGGACGGGGCTTCGTTATTATTTCGACTTCTGCTAAACATTGCGATGCTATCAGAGCAGTAAATCTGTAAAAAATTATATATCATTAGTTATAATATTACTAGATATTAATGGGGTTTGAGAAAAATAACATGAACAGAGCACGTGTAAATTCGATGATACAATAGCGTACGAGGATAAAAACTTCTTCGGCGAAATTCTTAGCGTGTTACTCTGTACAGTGCGAGAGTTGTTTTATAACCTCCAAATGCTTTTTAAAATTGAGCAAGTATCAAAATATGATAAATATGTGCGGGGTTCGACATACATGTCACTAGTCTTAGAGTTATTTTGGTGGCCTATCAACCTGTGGCCCACGCCTGTCCACCGCACCCTATAGTTTATAAAATTAAATGTATTTGATTGAAGTTATGTTATGTTTAACTTCCCGAAGGAGAAGTTTATGTTTTCATCAAAAAATCCGAATCGCTAATTTTATGTTTTCTCGACGTTTCGAGCCATTCTGAATCGAATGAGACCAAATTTGGAAAAAGTATGTGTGTGTGTGTGTGTGTGTGTGTGTGTGTGTGTGTGTATGTGTGTGTGTGTGTGTGTGTGAACAGATTTTTTGCCGTAAATCGACGTTTTCTCCAAAACGGTTGGACCGATTTCAAAAATTTAAAAGCCATTTGATGTATCTCGATGAGGACTATCGTCTCTGAGTTTTGTGCGGCGATCGGCCGGGCCGTTTCTTTGTAAATTGCAGAAAAGTGAAAAATTTTTCGTCCACGTTTTAGCCCGCAATTCTGAATCGATTCTGAAAATTCAAAAACCGTTCGATAGATATTGGTTGGGAATCGTGCTGATTAGTTTTTGGTAAAGATCGGCCGGGCCGTTTTCTTGTAATAAAGTTTTTAAAAAAAATTTTTTGACGATTTTTATGATTATTTTTTTGACGATAGATACCATAGTTTTCTAGGTCATACTAAAATATTACGGTCCTACGACAACTGGTTCAGCTTTAAAAATTCGTCAAAGTTTGCAAAAATCAGTATGGTCTTTTTGGCATTTGTCAAAATTAGACTTTTGATCGACGTTTTCTCAAAAACGCCTGAACCGATTTTAGAAATTTAAAAGCCATTTGATGTATTTCGGTGAGGACTATTGTTTGTCAGTTTTGTGCGACGATCTGCCAAGCCGTTTCTTTGTAATTTGAAAAAAAGTGTTGAATTTTTCGTCCACATTTAAGCTCATCCTACCGAACCGATTTTAAAAAATCAAAAACTGTTCGAAAGATATTAGTTGGGAATGATGCTGATTAATTTTAGGTGAAAATCTACCGAGCCGTTTTCTTGTAATTAACTGTTGAAAAAAAAGTGTTAAATTTTCGTCCACATTTAAGCTCATCCTACCGAACCGATTTTGAAAAATCAAAAACTGTTCGAAAGATATCATTTGGGAATGATGCTGATTAATTTTAGGTGAAAATCTACCGAGCCCTTTTCTTGTAATTAACTGTTGAAAAAAAGTGTTAAATTTTCGTCCACATTTAAGCTCATCCTACCGAACCGATTTTGAAAAATCAAAAACTGTTCGAAAGATATCATTTGGGAATGATGCTGATTAATTTTAGGTGAAAATCTATCGAGCCGTTTTCTTGTAATTAAATGTTGAAAAAAAGTGTTAAATTTTCGTCCACATTTAAGCTTATCCTACCGAACCGATTTTGAAAAATCAAATACTGTTCGAAAGATATCATTTGGGAATGATGCTGATTAATTTTAGGTGAAAATCTACCGAGCCGTTTTCTTGTAATTAACTGTTGAAAAAAAATTTAAGCCGATTTTCATGGAATTTTTTTTTGGCGATATACATCATGGTCTTATAGAACTTACTGAAATATTACGGCCTTACAACAAGTAGTTTAATTTTAAAAATTCGTCAAACTTTGCTAAAATTATTATCGTTTTTTTTTAAAGTAGGATTAATGAAGTATATTATTTACACATTTTTTTGATCAAGTCGATTATTTACACATATCGGGAAGTTCATGTAATTTGCCTCAAGGCTAAATACCAAACCAACTAGTTATATATTGATCAGATCACATGCTACAAATGTGGAAAAATAACGTTTGTCAATTTTCACAAATAAAATATATTCAAAAATTTAATATTGATTTATAGAAATTTGGGCTCGCCCGTAGGTAAGAGGATAAGAGCGACGGGACTTGTTTCAGAGGTCCTGGGTTCGATACCCACTTCGAGCAGCCTGTTGTCAGGCAGCAGTGACAACGATTTTCACTTGGAAATATAGATAGCAATATGTTTCCAAGTGAAAATAGCCCTTGTCTGGCATTGCTGCACCAATAAAAAGTCAGCCCTATTAGATTAATTCTAATAACAAAAATCATCAAATATGGAAGAATTAACCAACCATTGGGTTACCATCTAAAAATACGAAGTAAGGAGAAGTTTCAGCCCAACAGCTCATAGGACGTAAGGTTCTGATTGCTGTTAAAAATATAATAATAAAAAAAAAATAGAAAAATAGAAATATCATTGTTTTTATGTAACAAACTAAAGTTTCATAAAGACATCAAAATAAAAATAAATTAAATCAAAAATATTCAGTAGATTTTATTAAAAGCCTGCGAAAAGTGAGAGGGTACGCTTGTATATATATATTTATATATAAATATATATATATATATATATATATATATACACATTTATTCTTATTTGTGCGTACACGAATATGCGTAGGTAAATTACAACGACGTGAAAGTTTCTTATTCATCACAGATCATAAATCTTTTTACTTCTTATACAAATACGACTGATATATATATATTTTATTAATGGCCTTTAGACTTTTTGCTCTGATGATTTTTCTATTCTTATTAAAATTTGAGGTACTTTCATAAATACATTTTTGTATTGAGAAGTCAAGAATTGAAAATTTTCAAATATAAATAAGTAATATAACAGTTAATTAAATGAATAATTTGAACCTGAAACAGGATATAATATTTAACATCATTTTATTGCAATAATACTTTATTATTGTATATCACAAAAATTAAGGCCAGGTCAAACGCCGATATTTTATACAAATCGCTTACGTTATGTAGTCATATTTCATCAGTAAAATTTATACATGATATTGGTTCCTGTATTACGAACATTTAAAAATATTATGACAAAATTACATAGAGATCCAAAAAGCTCTGATTCAAAGCCCTGGAATACTCAATTTATTTACTAGCATATTTAATTAACACTAGTGGGGTCCATGGCATCGTGCCTTAAGGCAAATTGCTAGAACTTTACGTACTAATTTTTTTTTTAAAGATTAACAGTTTTGAAAAAAAACTACTTTGAAAAAAAATAGATTTTTAAAAAATTATAAATTTTTGACAAAAATTGAGTTACCGTTTGTGGCACTTTTTGCCCCGTATCTTCGAAACGGCTAGACCTGCTTATGCCAAAAACTAATCAGCACGTCTCCTTATCAACAGCAATCGAATGTTTTTGGAATAATCGAAATCGATTGAACCGTGTTCTTGAAATAGTCAACCAAAATTTGAATCCGCACACACACACATACACACACATTCAATTTGGGATACATAAAGGCATTTCCTTTGCTATACAAAAAAAAAACACTTACATACATCTATTTTTCCTAAGGTATGCCAAAAGGTTCAGAAACCCTTGAAACGTAAAAATATATAAAAATTGTCATTTTCGATTTTTTTGCGATTACTATAACTTACCCTACGGGAAGTTAATAATTTAAAGTTTAAAAAAATAAATCAAAAGTAATAATATTTTTACCGTCAGTTGTAATCATTAAATATATCTCTAGCTGTTGGGTCAGCTATTCAGCCGAATGAAATTTGCCTTTTTTGTATTATATTAATACCTCGTTTTTTGAATATTAAACACCAATTGGATAACATTCGGACTATGACAAGTTATTGTTTTTTACCACTAGGGCCTGACTACTATTTTCAGATTCTAAACTTTATTAAACTCTTCATGCCTAACATCAAGATCATTTAGAAGAAACACTATCTTGGATGAGAAACATTTAGTGTTAAAAAATTAAGTCATACTTCAATACATTTCGTTTTTAATCAAGAATTTATTCGCTCTGAATTTTGCAACACTAATGAGAAAAAATATTTTCTCAGATGCAATTTAAAATTCATACAGCTCTCAGCAAACAAATTGCATCATGAATGTAATACATTATAATTTTATTGCGTTAGAATGTTTGGCAGTTATATGATTATACACAAGGCATTTAAATATTTCAATTTAATAGCACTATCTGGAGAAACTTTTCGGATGTGACATAAAACTTGAATAATGTTTTATGTTCGAGATTTCAATCGTCACATTGTGATATATTATATAATATACACAAGTTGAGCAGTTTTATTTTTCCTAAAATTGATATTCAGTTTATGACTTTATTAAATTTGGAGGAAGATTATAGACTAAAAACTAATTTTAGAAAAACACTTGTTGGAAACTGCAATATTTGGTGACTATGAAATATTATTTGTTTTTGCGATGAAAGGTACAAGTTCCAAATTTCAAGAGTTAAAATTTATAACAGTTTTTTGATTTTACTTCTGACACTGACATCTGAAAAGGTATTCATTACGCGAAATATTTCTTGTAATTAATTCAAGTTGGAATGATTCCAAAAGTGAATTTTATGGTTGAAAGTGAGATTCCATATAGAATACAAATTTTTTTGGAAGAAAGTTTATTTTTAATTAAAATTTTCGATGTAAATTCATTCCATGCATGTTCAAGAGAATGATTTTCAATTGACTTTCGCTAATAACTTTCGTAAACTATTTTAAATTAAATCAATATGTTTAAATATTATACATACTTACGTAACGTAAACAATTTGTATTCTGAATTTTTATATTCATACTTTGCATAATAATCGAAAATCTATGTAAATTGGAGAGATATATGATAATATATCGATACTAATAGAATTCTTGAAATTGCCTCCGTTTATGTTTGCAAAAAATTGAAAATAAGGTCTCGACGATAAATTGATAATTTAGTAAACGGATTTATTTTGTTTTAAGCGTATATATAAGCTATAGTGCATTTGATGACCTGATGTATATACGAGTTGGTATTTATATATATAGGGTAGAGCGGGGCTTAGAAGTCCGCGGGTAATAAGGTCCACCACCGATAACTCAAAAACAAATAAAGTTAAGATTTTTTTAGGAACAATATTTGAAAGTAGAGGAAAAAATGTATAACCAACTATCAACTTGATTCCTGCGACTACGCCATCGGAAGATAAACGGAAATTTTTGATAATCCATTACAAAAGTATTTTCTTTCGTTGTTAGTTTTTTGATTGTGAGCCCCGTTGTTTAGTTTACAATACCTTGATATAATTTTTAAGTATACGATATATAATTGAATGTATTGTTAATTAACTTCCCGTAGGGTAAGTTATAGTAATCGAAAAAAAACGAAAATTAAAATTGTTATATATCTTTACTTTTCAAAGGTTTCTGAACATTTTGGCATACTTTAGAAAGTGCGTGTGTGCGTGTGGATCCAAATTGTCGTCGACGATTTTGGGAACACGGTTCACCCGATTTCAATTATTCAAAAAACATTCTATTCCTATTGATAAGGTGCTGATTAGTTTTTGGCAAAAGCAGGTCTAGCCGTTTCGAAAATACGGCGCAAAAAGTGCCAAAAATGGTGACAGTTTTTGAGAGAAGGGAGCGTCCGATTTTAATAATTAAAAAAAGATTCTACTTGTATTGACAAGATGAAGAACTGATTAAAGTTTTGGGAAGGCAGGCCAGGCGGCTTCGGAGATCTAGTAAAAAAAAGTAAAAGAAAATCCATTTAGCGGTCAAAAATGATCATTTGACATATGCACATCAAATTATCAGATATTTTATGGAGATTTTAAATATACGTATTATATACAATACGTATCACATTTAATAATACGTGTTTACATTTCTATGGGTTCCATAACATTGTTTGTCGCTAAAACTGCCTCGATATTTCGTCTCTATGAAGCTAAAGCAGTGCGATTGCTTTGAAAAAAAGTTTAAAATTTTCAAAATATTTCAAAATAAAGAAAACATTTTTCTTCAAGAAGTCTTTTTTTCCAAAAACGTAAATTTCAAAGTTTAAAAAATTTTAATCATTTTTAAAAAATTAAATTGTTTGTACGGGAAGTTTCAGAACTTTGCTTCAAGACACGATGCCATACTCCACTAGTTTCAGGTAAGATTCGACAGTTTAACAGCCTTTATAAAAACTAACACGTGGGTGGTGTAAAAAGGACCAACTTAACCTTCACCCTAGCAATGAAAAGTAAACAATGAAAAATATTGAATAAAAAAGTAAATTAAGTTAAAAAAGATAAGTTACATAAATATTTATTACAACCCTGCTGATGATTATTTTTTGTGAAACATCTTTATAGAGATAATTTTAACTGTTTACAACCTTGATCTGTTAATTTGTTAGAAATATTCATTAGCATAGTTAGAATAACTATTAATTTAATTAATTTCTTGTAAAATTATATTTTTTTAACTAAATACACATTGTTTTTTAGTATGTTTTATTGTTTATGCCGTTAACAAGGTAAAGGTTCAGTTGGGACTTTTTACTCCGAACACGTGTAAGCTTTTATATAGGTTATATATAAAAAACGGTTTAATCTAACATAAAATTAACAATGCATTTTATAATACGAATAAATAATATATACATTTATACTTTACAATAATATATACTTAAAAATTAAAAAAAAAACTCGTAAAAGCCAAAAAACTAACAACGAAGGAAAATACTTTTGTTATAAATTTTGAGCATTTCTGTTTATCTCCTTATAACGACGTCGTAAGAATCAAGGCGTGATGGTTATACATTTTTTACCTCTACTTAAAAATATTGTTGGTGAATAATTGTAACTTCACTGTGTTTGAGATACCGGTGGTAGA